TGCATTATCGCCGACAAGTTGCATTCTATGCATTTTGCCTATTGACTCAAAGACACCAACATTTTATATGTTAAATGAAACGCAGGGAAGTAGAGGAGCAAATGAAATCGGATCTGCTCTCATCCATCACTTAAGACGCCAAGATCTTTCGTCTTTTTCTGCAGAATCGTTGTTTTGTGATGGTTCCGCTGGTCAAAATAAAAATGCTCAACTTGGTTATGTTTTGTGCCATTGGCTTAAAAATGAGGCTCCAGAGAATGTACACAAAATTTATCAACAACCTTTCCTAGTCGTGGCCACAGTTTTCTTCTAGCTGATCGAGCTTTTGGCCGTGTGAAGAAGCGCTTGAAAAAAACTGATACCATCATCTCGAGGGAAGAGTATACTTCTATTTACGAGGAGTTTGGCTCTGTACAGAAACTGGGACAAGATTGGATGATATACGATATCAAAAGCCTTGAAATGATTTATCAAAAAATAAAATGAACCCGCCATACCAAACGCCTCATTATTAAGAAAATCAAAACAAGGGATTGCGCCAACTATAGGTTCGATTGTGAAACAGAAACTTTTAGAAGCATTGTAAAAAAACATAAAAATGATTTTCTTAAGGCAAATCCCACTATCTCATTCCGTGAAGAGAAAAAAAGATGTCCTTCATTTATTGCAAACCCACTTTTGACAAAATTGTAAAGAGATCCTTGATTTTCATTTTTTTTTTGTTTTAGTGGGAGGTACCGTTTAATATTTTTTATTTCTAAGATATTGTTAGTTTGACAAAAGTTAATATCACCCATCTTTTTTTACAAAACGTAGTCCAGGCTGTGAGGCCGCTCCCATTGGGAAAATGTTTCTGATTCGGTTTCTTCGCGGATTCCGGTTCAAAAATGTCCCCTTTAAACAAATCTGAAGGGTGCCTGGCGAAATTTTTGGGCAGAAATTGTTTAAACAATTTTTTTAAAACAAATTCCAAAAATATTTTTTTTTAATCTGGAAAACGTTTTTTTAGGTTTTTTGGGTCATTTTAAACAAAAAAGGTCTCTTGCCATTTTTCTCTAAAGTTGATAGTTTTGGAGTTATAAGCGATTTAAAGTCTGAAAAACGCGAAAATACGCATTTTTGAATCTTGAAAACACATATGTAAATTATTATTTTTGAGGTTACCAAGTGTCTAAATTGAAGTTTAAACATTCAACTTCAAGATTGTGAAGAGTAATCGGGGCTTATTTTAATTTAGACCGTTGTTTTTTAATTGTTAAATATGCGCGTACACTCGATTTTTCAGCCGCCGCGGCGCGGCGCGCTAGAGTGCCCTTCTATCGTACTTATGCATAGTTTACATATACACTTACGCAAAAAAACCCCAACAAATCCTTGAAGTTTATTAACATAGTTTTTTCCATAATTTATTTATGTAGGTATTAATTATTGTCATTGGGCTAATTAAATAAATCAATCATCGCAATGTAATAACCGTATATAGTTTTTTTTTCTTCCAAATTTGAACAATATAATTATTATTTATTGAGTATATATTTTATTTATATCAATTGTAAATAATATTTTTAAATTATTATTTAAATAATACAATGCAGTAAATATTAATATTAGTAAACTTAATTTTAAATTGCGCGGTGTTTAAAAACAATATACTATCGCAAAAATGCAAGTTTTTACCTGTTTAACAATCGCGCTCATACTTGATTTGTTATTACTTAAACGATCATTAGGAAGACTATTGTTTAATGCCCATTAAAAGGGTATTATATTATTAATGTGTTATTAAAAAAATTGTGAATGGATTTAAAATGTCTTTTTCCGTACCTCTTCTTAAATGAAAACTTACCGAAGAAAATTTAGTTTGTATTTTTTGTAATAACATCAATAATATTAAGTTAGTGCAAAAACCTAAAGTAGATTTTTACATAACAATACAAAATGCTGCTCTTCGACGAAAAGACAGTGTGACTGAAAAATTTAATTTAATCTAGCCAATATACCTTGTACCTCTGACGCACTTTACCAACACTTGTTAAGAGCTTTCGCTAAAACATATATTTGGCGAAATGCCATATATTCCCGCTATCAAACTCTCGATTTTACACAATATGGATATTATATGTCTGATAGTGGTGGGTTGGGAAACCGTGCAAATGCAAAAAGACTTGCAAAACTAATGCTTGCAACTGCAAGAAAAATCATGTCAACTGTGTACCATTATGTGGATGTGATTTAGATTTATGTGAAAACAAAGATACTTTTACTGAGTGATATTAGTGTGTTATTTAACAATCTTTTGTACAATTATTTTATGTAACTAATATTAGACTTTAGACGAAATTTATATTATAACTCAATTGATATAAATAACTATGTACTCAATAAATAATAATTATTTGTAAGTATATGTAAACTATGCATAAGTACGATAGAGGCGCACGGTAGCGCGGCCGCCGCGGCGGCTGAAAAATCGAGTGTACGCGCATACTTAACAATTAAAAAACAACGGTCTAAATTAAATAAGCCCGATTACTCTTCACATTATTGAAGTTGAATGTTTAAACTTTAGTTAGACACTTGGTAACCTCAAAAATAATAATTTACATATGTGTTTTCAAGCCTCAAAAATGCGTATTTTTCGCGTTTTTCAGACTTTAAATCGCTTATAACTCGATAAACTATCAACTTTAGAGAAAAATGAAACAGACTTTTTTGTTTAAAATGCCCCAAAAAACCTAAAAAATGGTTTCCAGATTAATTAGAAAACATTTTTAAAATTACTTTTTATGTTTTAAAAAAATTTTGTATTTTTAAACAATTTCTGACCAAAAATTTCGCCGGCATCCTTCAGATTTGTTTAAAGGGGGCATTTTTTAACCGGAATCCGCGACGAAAACCGAATCAGAAACATTTTCCCAACGGGAGCGGCCTCACAGCCTGGACTAACGGGATGTCTCCAACAGACACATGGCTATATTTTGTTATAGTATATCAATAAAAATAATGTTAATTAACGTTTTATTTCTCTAAATCTAACCTCAATTGATTACGTTCTCTGAAATTTCGAAAATTTTAGTCGAAAACAGTTGCAGCACGTTTTTACGGCTCCTAAAAATTTTTGAAAAGTGGATTTATGCAGTTTTGTAAAAAAGCTCCTCATATATTGTTATAGTTTTTATAGTGATCAATTATACTAAACACAAGAAGCAAGTAATGAAAGTACGGGGAGTACATTAAAATTTTTGAGCATTATTTCAAGATGAGTCAAAATCTTGACTCATCTGTCACTATGATTTATTCAGAATAAGAAATCAGCAGACAGAATATTGGGATAACGAATACTGTGCAATTTTCCTTGTTTTTACCCTTTGTGTTGACCATGCAAACTTATGGAAACATCACCCTTTCCTGACATGTATGGAAACCTACAAGACTTGTCTTTTAAGGACAGAGAAACAAGTGTAGAAATTACAAAGGAAGTAATACTGTATGCACTAAATAAATAAATAACTAATAAAATACCCAACATAACATACCCAACGAATGGTTGACCTCAACATTCATTTGTCTACCAAAAAAGAAAAATGCTAGAGAATGCACCGAGCACTGTACAATAAGCCTGATGTCTCACACACTTAAATTGTTTTTAAAGATCATTCATAAACGCATTTACAGAACACTTGATATGGATATTAAAGAAACTCAATTTGGATTCCGTAATGACGTAGGTACCCGTGAAGCTCTCTTTGCATTCAACGTACTAATCCAGAGATACTTGGATGTGAACCAAGATATGTACGTCTGTTTCATAGACTACAACAAAGCTTTCGACAAAGTATGCATTAATGAACACAAATCAGAAGAGTTCGAACTTAAAAGAGGAGTGCGACAGGGGTGTGTATTGTCACCACTACTATTCAATGCATACTCTGAAGAAAGAGCTCTTGAGGGAGAAACAGCAGAAATCAAGGTCAATGGAACACCAATTAACAACATTAGATATGCGGACGATACTATCATAATAGCAGACAACCTCCAAGACCTCCAAAAGCTAATGAACAAGATAGTTGAGTATGGAGAAGAATATGGATTATCAATAAACACCAAGAAAACCAAATTTATGAGGATATCAAAAACCCAAAATAATGGTGAAAGCCTGACAATTAACGGTAGTGCTTTAGAACAAGTTGAAAACTACCACTATCTTGGCACAATAATTAATCACACAAACGATTACTCCAAAGAAATCAAAGTTCGAATAGAGAAAGCACGTACAAACTTCAATAAAATGAGAAAGGTACTTTGTGCAAGAGAACTAAAATTGGACTTGAGAGTTAGGCTGGCAAGGTGTTATATTTTCTCGACTCTGCTTTATGGGATGGAAGCATGGACACTTAACGCGTCGACTGCTAAAAAGTTGGGAGCATTTGAAATGTGGGTGTATAGAAGAATCCTGAAGATATCTTGGACCGAGCATGTGACAAACAACGAAGTCATGAGAAGAATCAACAAAAGAATGTAAGTATTGGAAACCGTCAAGACACGACAGCTGCAATACCTGGGGCATGTTATGCGTAATGAGAGATACAACCTACTTCAATTGATTATACAAGGGAAAATCCAGGGCAAGAGAAGTGTAGGAAGAAGAAGAAGAATCCCATGGTTGCGTAACTTGAGGGAATGGTACGGATGCACATCACAACATATTTTGTTATAGTGACTTTTTCAGACTCCAGGTTCGAGCACAGAGTACACATTGATAAAATACTTTCCTTTTCACACATATGGAGGTATCAGACTTTAATTTTCCAAATGCTGCCCAGTTATGGCTTATTCTTCTTTAGACTCATGTATAGTCGACTGGTGCAGCACTGATTAATTTAATGTATACACATATAATATGGGTTTTACAAAACAGTAAACAGCTGAACAAATTAAACACCCACTGACTTATAAAAAATATCATTTAGAAAGAGATAAAATATTAAAACGTGTCTTACCTTGGTAATATCGCCACTACGCAAGACAATGCAGTGGCCATCCAATAATTAGGCTTCACCATGGCCATCTGGATTGTCCAATAGGTGCTCGGTAAACCAAAGCAGTTTATGCAGTAGGTGTCGTAGACTATTGAGTACAAATAAAAAGCTCCTATTGATAAAACTATTGACGCTATGTGGAGAAGTGTCTACAAAAAATAAAAATGATTTCTAGTAAAATATTTTCAATACTTTATTGTCGAACTTTGTACAAAACAGTAATAAAAAGAGCTAAAACTTTTTTAGATTATAATATTTTGTGTTAAGAAACGTGAAAATGTATTTTGTGTTGGAGTGATAGCCAGCCAACCGTAATTATCTTTCTTTTTTTTCGATGGCTCGATATTATCAAATTTTGTCATAAGAAATTATAACATCATATTCATTTAGATTAAAACGAGTTGTCGATTAGATTGTTGTTCAATGAAAATGAGTTTATTAAGACAATCTGTTCGTAATACATAACTTAATACAGTGCTACAACTTACCCAGGAACGCATTTCAATGGAAGCATGTAAAAGCATCACAAACATACAACACGTGGTCGCTGTAGTTCCGAATTCGAACACATCGACGTCGGTATCGCTGTAGGCGTATTGACATATAAAAAATATAATTGTACTCTGATACAGTGCATCCAACATCGTGAACCAAAACGAAAACGATCTATAAACTTTTCCTAAACGCCCTCTTCTGTATAAATAGGGATTCTTTAAAAGGATTTCTTGAGGGGCGTCTTGATCATAAACACCTGAAAATTCGGAATTTAAAAATAGTTGTGTAAAAAGTAATGCATGCCAATAAAGTGGATAGATAGACACTTCAGAGTAGTTTGACTTTTGTCCATTGGCAGATATCAACTGAATGTATTTACCAAATGATGCTAGGTCAGTGGTATGCATGAATTCAGTGATACCTTCTACCAAGGGTGTAGAGTCGACTTAACTACGGGCAAATGTTAAAGTGTCCTGAAGTGGCCACATATTTACTATCTATTTCACTTCATGTGATAAAAAATCAAATGCTATGTTAAATCGTTTGCAGTTTTAGTTCAATAACACAGCTTTTAGGTATTTCTTATATCTTATAATATATTATAAATAAACTCATATTATATAATAGGTAATATAAATAATACACTTACCAATGGCTAAAGGAGGTAGCGAAGTAAATAATAAATTATATAACATAAGATACATTTGGTCTATCATCACTGTACCAGAAAATCCACAGTACATTTGGTACCAGAAACACAGGAATACAAAGGCCTAAAAAAATATTTAAACCATATATTAAACCGTAAACTAAATATCGGTATACAGTATCAATAAAATCAATTACAGTAAAAGCTAGTTTTACGACCAGTGCAACCAAAATCCCCATAATTGACTTTGTAGTAAAGTTGCTAAAAAAAAATAGTTAGTAATTTAGAACACTAAAAACTAAAACTGTTCCACTTTTCACTAAGTTTATTTTTAGCCCACGACAATTGTTTCTGCGTGGACAGACCTTAATAAGGTGAGTTATTTCGATCTCTTCTACAACTGTAGGTTGTAGTTGAAAAGATTTTGGAGTGAAGAATTATTATTGTAATAAGATGATCCTTTAGATTGAAATACAATTCAGGTTTATGCTCTAACAACTGGCGAGCAGTCATAAGACGCTGAAAATTTCTACCAACAATTAGACGACATCACAAAAAACCTGAAGAATCAAAACATAACTATCTTAATGGAGAATTTTAACTCCAAAATTGAAACATGCCAAATAAGCGACATAGTTTTCAATTTGGCAGGGTTACAAGAAATTTTGGAACACGATAACCTCTCTTTGCAATGCTAGTGACGGTTCAGAAATACCTGGATCTGCAAACAGATGTTCACGCTTACTTTATCAATTATGGGAAAGCTTTCGACACAATTCGCATCAAACATGAAAAACTTATAGAACCATTACATCTTTTAGAACTTTGACACTAAGGACATCCAGATTTTTAAAAATTCGTATTGGAATGAAAAGCTCATATTAAGTATGTAGAATGGAGGGTCAAAATAATATTAACATTATTAAGTGAGCTAGACAGGGCTGCATTCTTTCGAGGCTATACGCAGAACAAATATATGTAGAGGTACTGGAAGAATACAATGAAGGTGTCCAGATTAATAGCATATCAATAAGTAATCTTCGATATGCGGATGACTCTGTTATTCTAGCACATAATATCAGCGATTTACAGATTATGTTCAATAAAGTAAATAATATTACAAGCAACCAATTTGGATCAAAATGTATGGTGATTAGTAAGGACATCTAAAATATCCAGTGGGATATATCTAGGGTATTAAGATCTGAATTGAAATAGCAAAATCTCGATTCATAAAAATGTGGAAGCTCTTAAGCAACCACAAAGGAAGCGTTAAGATCCGATGAAGCGCCACGAAATGTGGCGTACACTCTACGCAACTTTACGAGCTTTACCTAGTAGAAGTGTGGACATTAAAATCCTGGCTGAGCAACGTAGGAGAATGGTTACAAATACTGGAAACTGTTAAGAAGATATGATAAGATACGAGTATCGTTGAAAAATACGATTTTTCATCGATCATCATCAAACTGTATGCGTCCACTGCTGGACACAGGTCTCCTCAGCTCCTTCCATCATGAACATTATTAGTGTGCAACAAATTTTTGCCGAGTCGTATTTGATTATATCTGGCCTATAAATTAATATTATCTACTCGTATAACTAATCAGAAAAACTATTATTCAATTATTAAAACTATTTTTTACTTACAGCATTTTTATAAAAGAAGTACAACACCATTCTCGAAAGCCTATCATAGCTCCAATGGCCGTGTACCAACAAGAAATTCTCCAAATATTTAAACCTAGACAGTGCGAAATCTGCAGCCATGACGGCTTGCATTCCTTCTTGACCGGATATACCTATTCCAACGTCTGCTGTTTGAATCATCGACACATCATTGGCACCATCTCCTATCGCTAACGTTCTTTTCTTAAGCTCTTCTTTTACTACCCTGAAACACAAGATACTGGGATTATTAAAAGGAATCTTCTGTTTTTGTTTGAATTGGGTATATGTAAGTAGTAAACGCGGCAATAATATGTCTGACATGATAGAGAAAATCTCTTAGTAGATGAAGCATTAAAGTGTATCCACCATACTGACAAACAGAGACGTGAAAAATATACGAGAAGGAATATTCAGATCCCGTCAAAACACGATTTTATGACACGTGTTTCGCTGTAGCTCATAGAACGACTGGTTTGACGTAGTAAATATTCCTTCTCGTATATTTTTACACATTATTTTATTTAAAGTAGAAAGTTGCGAATTATTTCTACCTGATAGGCGTTCTTATACCCGGTTCGCTATTCCCAGTCCGAACTGTCTAATGATTTTAGTAATTATTTTTTTGCGAAGTTAGTTACTTTTTGACAGACTCGAAGTGGCTGGAAATTACTATACAACCAAGCATACGTGCTCTTAGTCAATATTAATGTAAACCAAAGTAAATAAAATAGAACTTTGCGAATTACCGACAATCAATATTTATTTATTGACACCGTATAATGTATTGATAACAAATAATAAAATTATTTATTGTATAAAATAAACTATTGGGAATAAATTCTACAAAATTAAGAAGTCAAAGTGAGGTTAAATAAGATACAGCAAGTTCCTTATGTTGTGCAGTTCTTTTTCTTATTCCCTTATTTGTCCCATCCTGCCAAGCCCTTCTAACTGATCCAGAAGAAAATATCCATGTTTCGCCTAAAAAAAAATAAGGGCTTTTTGTAAACGCCTTTTTGGTCATTTTCATGGTAAATCCTTAAACAATTATGCCTCATCTCAACTACGGGAGGAACTTCCATAAAATATTTTTGTGGACTGTCTATTTTGTATATGAATCCTATTTTTTTAAGATCAGAAAGAGGCTTGTTTTTCCTCCTTCATAAATAAATTTGTCAGCAACACAAAACAAAATATATTTACTCTAACAGAATTAATTAATAATATCGAATTTAAAAACTTTAAGTTGGTTGCATACATTTGGCGCAACTTAACGATATAAAGTAAATTAGCCAATCTTTTTATAAAATATATATTTTTATATATAATAAACACTTACTTTCTTCATACATCCGATAAATTTCTAAACGAATTTGATTTTTGATACTATGATTTAAGTCAGTCGTTAATTTTCTTTTGCGATTTTGCTTTTTTAATGCGAGGGTTGTATAGGCCCATCTTTATATTTCCGCACACTTTTTTCTAAGACTTTCAGACATTTGGATGTCAACTGAAATGTTTCTGTTATTAAGAACATTTGTATAAGTTTAACATTTACATAAGTCGATAAATACATTTTAATGATCAACTTACCTCAACAGGGTTTTCATTCGGCAAATAATTTAAAAAAAAATGGTAGGCATTTTAAATAAACCTTTGTGCAGTTTTATTACCTTGTAATCTAGGAACAGCATCCTTACTCATATAAAAATATTAACTTTTAAAAAAGATTGTATCATATTTATTAAGAAAAACTTACCGACACATTAGCTGATGGAACAAATGGAAAACTTTGACCATATTAATAAAATTTAAAATATAACTAACTAATTAACTGAATAGAACTAACAAAAGAATTAAACACAGATAATAAAACAATAAAACTATATTAAATTAAATAAACAACGCGAATAATACAAATATTTACTACAATAATTTAGGTTGTAACAATTCAAATATTATATTTTAAATATACAGGAAAAATTTGATGGGTTTAGTATACACTTCCACTATTTAGAATAATTCTTCTTTTTTTCAAAGAAAGAAGTCTGCAATAGTAGTATACTTAAGCTATTAATACTGAGAAGTAGGAATTGTTGTGTTGTACGTTTCCAACAATGAGTCTGTCAAAATGTGCCCTAGCTAAGCGAATGGAGAATAGATATTTTATGAAAATTCTGGTTTCGTCTGAAAATAGCACATTTTGACAATTTCCAAAGTTCCAGTTTTGGTATTGAAGATACCAATGTTTTAAAGTTGATAACCCTTGCTAATTGGCAAATAACAAATAATGAACTTGATAACTTTTTCTTCAGTTGTGAGATTTGAGCCAAACAGTTATCTATGATTATTCCCAATAGTTTAACAGCCTCTTTGTTGTCTGGATCATTATGTAAATTACTTGCAGATATAACCAAATTTTGCGTTTTATCAGAGTTAAATTATAGTTTGTTTGCAGCAAACCATGAGCTAAATTTAGTACTCTCACTTCTTCAAGAGACATTTTTAAATCATCATTATTTTTTCCTGATAAAACGTATGTCGTATCATCTGCAAATTGTATGGTTTTGTACGGAGATATGAATTTAGGCAAATCGTTGACATAAATAATAAACGAAAGAGGTCCTAAGACCGAACCTTGTGGGACTCCATGTTTGAAGGATAGAAAATCGGAGAGATGGTCTTTAGACATTACGCCTGGTGTCTGCCACATAGATAAGAAGATATAAGCTTAAGAGGGATACCTCTGATTCCATATTATTTTAATTTGAGGAGCAAAATATCGTGTGAAAGGCAATCAAAAGTCTTGCGACAAGTCGCAAAGAGAAATTGCTATGCGATTGCCACGTTCAAGCTTCTCAATCACCTCGCTCACAACATTAAATACCGCGTTCATCGTAGAACGAGCACTTCTGAATGCATATTGTGAGTTGCTAAAGTAATTATTTGACTCAAAATAGGAATAAAATTGTTGTTTGATAACCTTTTCAATCACTTTGTCAAAAGTAGAAACAATGCTTATGGGTCTGTAATTGTCACTTTTTGAGAAATCAACTTTTTTGTAGGTTGGTAGTACTTTTAAGTATTTTAGTACTTCTGAAAATACTCCAGTTGATGGAAATAGATTAATAAGATGAGTGAAAGGTGTTAAAATTATTTGGTAAGTTTTTTTTAATTTTGCTATTAATTTCGTAAACGTCCCTGCAATTAAATTTACTAAGAGACTTTATTATTTGAGAGACCTCTTCTTCCAGAACGGAACGAAAAAAGGACTTGCTCGAAGAAGGATAATTTCTATAATTGAAGATATTGATATAATTTAATTGAAATCGACATTAATAGTGAGAAAAGATGTAATTATATTCTCTGCAATTTTAGTATAAAATTGATTTAAATAGGTAAAGAAATAATAAATAAGACTTACAATCAATTTAATTTAACTATCAGACGACCGGTTTCGCTTTCTACAATATGCAAAGCATCTTCAGGTCTCGAATACATGTCTCGAGATAAGACTGATATGGAGTTATTCTAATCTTAGCACAGTAACAGTATCTCTTTATGGTGTGATATATTGATATCAAATGGAGTCGTACCAATGGTTTCATTTGGTTAACTGATTAAATAGTAAAAAGAAACAATTTCTTCATGGTTACCAGCTATTGGATAATTCAGGTTGTACCAATTTTTATTATATACCCTTCTTGGTACTAGTGTAATAAGCCGGAACCATGTTTACGAAGATGAAATTTATATCAATAAATTCTGCTTCACTTACTAATGATTGTGTAATGATTTTTATGCGGCGCAAGACGTTATTTTTTATGTAATTTCCATTTAAAATATGCCCGATTTTTAAAAGCCACCGCCATTATTTACCATGAAACAACAGGAAATGACAGGAGTGACAACTGTTTCTTATGGTCAAAAATGGTAATTTTAACCAGTGTTGTCATAGTTATTCAAAATTATGTTTTCTAATGAATTTCAAATTGGACATTAAAATAACATTTTATTATTACCTACTTTTAACTGAAAATTATAGCTTTTTTACAAGGGTACAATTTGATTTTTAATTATATTACAAAATTTTATTCTTATTACTGCTCTTTTACGAGCGTTAGGTTAGGTTAGGTTAGGTTGGTTTAGTTTTATTGTCATGTTTGAATAAAGGTAGTGCATTAGATTTTATGATCAAACACAGTATTATTAAAGACAAAATGGTGTGTCGGTGAAGATTTCCTGATAAGGAGAGAGCGCATGCATTCTTTACCGCTGCCGTAACTAGGTGGAACAAACATCCACCTAGTTATTAGGATTTTATCTACCTGTTTATTAAGGTAAGTAATTTTTAAAGTAAATTTAATTTTCATTAAATTTTAAAATTTAGGTATTTTAAATTTTAAAACTGGCAACAATATCAAATGTACATAAAATTAACTTCTTGCGCATGGCTGCCATATTGTTTTGAAATATTAAAAATCTTGATTATTTTAAACAATTTTATGCATTTTTTCATAATTTTACAGTAAAAATAGTGATATTTAATATGTTTTAGTTACGTTTTTTTATTAAGACATGTATACATACTTTTCTTTCCTTTTTATGTAATTTTTTATGGTTCATAATACTTTTTTTGGTATTTTTTGATTATTTGGGCACTCTTAATAGTTTAAAAGCAAAGAAAACATTAAAATTGGGCATTTTTAAGGCGTTCCGGCTTAGTAAATAATTACCGTTTTCTTCTGTCAAGAAAGCGGGCATATTTATGAACTTAAAGAAAGAAAATATAGTGAAGTGCTTTATTTTTATTTAAAAGTTTAATTTCTCTAGTATTTCTAGTTAATAAATAACTATATTATTTTGAATGTAAACAAATTACGAAATTTGGGAATAATACAATATTTCATTTCTTGACTATTCTTAATTTAATACGATATAAAACTTTTGTTTGTCTATACTATTTTTAAATTAGTTTTGTATAAACACTCCTCATGGTAATGTAAACATGAAATGGTATTTTGTTATCCTTTTGGAGTGACGTGACTTTTAATATTTTTTTTGTTCATTACTAAGATATAATAAAGTATAGTGTTGTTGTAAACTTTCTATAAATCTTATTTTTTTCTTTTCTCGTCCCCTTCGAGGTTAAACCAGGGGTGGCGTCCAATAATAAATTATAATTTCATATTATATAATTGTGCTTGGATTTAAGATATGATACAGTTTCTATATGTTTGAAATAACGCCCTAACTTTCTCCGACAATGAGCGATTCTGGGATTGAATTTAATTTGTGTGCCAAATGCTTATTAAACATGTACGCCACACCATTAGACAGAGATGCAGGCACTGCTTTGTGTCAGTTTTCTCTGTCGCACTGGGGGAACGCCACTTTATTGGAGCAATCAGTATATCTTGTATTATATGTCTATAAAGATGTTTAATGGTCTATGCAAAAAACGCAATGCATAGATAATAACGAATGTTATCTCATAATGTTAATAATGTTATCTCATCGAAACATCTTGACTTTTTTTTAGTTACTAAAGGGAATAGTCCTGAAACATTCTAAAACGTTTTCTTCAATCCCCGAAACGAACTGCACTTTAAATGTAAAACGAAACCACTAATAAATTTGAAATATATTTACTTACCTAACTATATAAGCTTTTTGTAGTGGAGTCGCTCTACAACACAAAACAGAATTGCAGTAAGTCGTCAATTTTAAAAAAGGCTTGGTTAAATTAGCTCTCTTATCTAAAATAAAAGTCAAAGTTTTTCCATCTACAGCTAAAGCTCTACTCTTAGGTTTAATGGGTGGCTGAGATGCGCTGGCGCTAGTCGATGGTCTTATTTTAGTATCAGATTGTAGTTCTCCCATTTCTCTTTCTTGGCGCTCTATATCGGCCAGATACACATGGATGGTATTCTCAACGGCTTCCTTGGATCGCGCCATTATTTTAAGCAGTTCCATTTGCGGGGAAAATAATTTCGCTGAGTAGGCAATGTTTATTGCAGTTTCAGGTTTATCGCCTGTAAGTACCCAAATGACGATACCGGCTGCCATGAGGTTGGAAAGGGTTTCCGGAACACCTTCTTGCAGCCTGTCTTCAATTCCTGCAAGAAAATATTTAACACATTAATTTCTTATTATTATATGTTATAAGAAGCATTAATAAATCTAAAAGTGAAACGACACCAAACTTGGAGTCTTACACATTGTCTCAACGTCGAAGCAACAAAAAGATCGCGAACACATAATTAAGACCCAGAAAGAAGTGACGCCTAAAAAGATTTTAGAAGAAACTAATAGTATTTAGTCTGGATAGACTCCTGCTTTCAGCAAAAGTAATTTTGACAGGTTTATTAAATTATTTAATCAGGAAGATTGGAATAATATTTTTTGTCCTCCTGATTTGCTTCATCAATTTCATCACACTCTCATGAAGATTTTCAATTTAGCATTTCAAAAAATAGTTCTTATATCGGAAAGTAAGGAAACTTGGGTTACAAAAGGAATTAGAATTTCCTGCAAAAACTTAAGATCGTTAAATTACATTAAAAAACATATAATATGCAATGATGAACTTTTGATATATTTCTATAAATATAGGTCTATAATATAGGAAAGATACTAAATTAGCCAAATGTATATCTTTTAAATCTAGAATGGAAAATGCCAATAATAAACAAAAGGAATCTTGGTGTATAGCAAATAATCTTAGAGCTAAAGTTCCCCACACTACTGATATAGTCTAGACCCTAGTGACCTGAATAAATATTACTGCTCGCTAGGTCCAGAACAAGCTGGAAAATTTCATTCTTCTTCTGATCCAATGCATTTTTTAAATGAAGTAAACATTACAAATTCCTTTTACTTTCTTCCCACTAACTCGGCTGAAATAAAAAATATACAAGGCATTAAAAATCCTATGGCTTCAGGCTGGGATGATATCCCATCTAAAGTTTTATCACTTCTTCCTGATGATGTTCTGAGAATTTTAGCGGAGACAATTAACACATCTTTTTCAATGGGTCACTTTAGCGATTGTTTAGAATGTGCTAGGGTTATTCCTCTGTACAAAGGTGGTGACCACGATTTACCTGCTAATTATCGTCCTATCTTTTTGTTGCCGTCGCTTTCAAAGGTTGTAAAAAAATTGGTAAAAATCCGAATGATGACGTTCTTACAAAAACACAATTTACTTTCTTCCTTCCAATTCGGTTTCCAGTCATTAAAAAGTACATATGATGCCTTCTTTGAATTCATGGAAAAACTATACTTGGACTTAAATAACGATTATGTTGCTGCCGTAGTTTTCTGTGATCTATCTAAAGCCTTTGACTGTGTCAATCACAAAATACTTCTTAATAAACTGGAAAGATGTGGTTTTAGAGGCACTGCTCTAAAGTGGTTCAGTTCATACTTGGAAGACAGATGGCAGTCTGTATCAATCAATGAGCGCTACTCTAGTAGCTCTCATTGATTGTGGTACTCTTATTAATCATAGTACTCTTTATTAACTGTGGGCTCTGTCTTGAGTCCTATCTTTTTCTTGATATATTTTAACCATATAACTAACCTCGACATTAATAACCGGTTTACTATATTTGCAGATGACACCACAATGTTATGGCAAAACAAGGACTCTACGGTACTGAACAAGATTATTAGTAGTTATATGCAAACAATTTTAGAGTAGTGCAAAGCTAATCATTTGACATTTAATTTTTTAAAAACTTAATTAAATTCTTTTAAGATTGATCTAAACCAATTAGAACAAATGTTCTGACACCGTAAACAAATTTTTTAGGTCGCTATATTGATAATAAACTTAAATTTGAGCAACACGCTGTATATTTAAGTAAAAAGATATCATCGGGCTGCTTCGCGGTCAAATCATTTGCTTACCATTTAGATTTCAAGATTGCAAAAAATGTTTCTGGCCCTGATTGAATCAAATTTGAGATACGGTATTGCCTTTCTGGGGTAGCTGTTGGCGGGAGAGGTGAGCGATGACAGTAAATTATAGTAATAAACGGGATATGCAACGAGGAATTATCACATAAAATCAACCACCGGCGACCGCTGTTACCCGAAAATCTCCGCTTGCCACAGCCGCGCTCGATCAACAACAGAATTTCAGTGCAATACACTGGTTCTGAGTTGACCGATAAGCGCGATTGTGATCTAAAAGCGAAAGACAGAGTAAGGAAAAACAGCAGTCAAAGAAAATAAAATACGCTTAACCACCGACGACAATTGGCAAAACCAATTCTCAGCTTTAAAACCAATTCCACCCCAGACATTAGCGGTAAAATAAAATTCCAAAACAAACCCAAAACAACCCCATTCCCTGAAGAGGCAGGAGCCTAAAACAGGGGCTCTCTCATGCAGAGAGAGTAAATACGAACAGTAGTAGTTCTCTTCATCATTTCAGTAGAAATTTTATGCTACAAAAGAGAGCACTCAGATATTTATGCAAGGTCAAGTTTGATACATCATACGGGCCTCTGTTCCGGAAACATGGTATCTTGATACTCCCTTGCATATATATTCTTGAATTAGCGTGTTTAATTTTTAAAAAACATAAAGAGGATATTCGGACAGTTTTCTAATCCTCAAGCAATATTTTAATGTACCTTGTACCTTGTTTGTACTATACCATGTTGTGTTTTATAAATGTAAACTCATTTTAAAAACAATCAACTTCTCTCTTTCTTTCCAAACAAAAACCAGGTACTGGATATGGTAATAATAAGAATAAAAGAATATCCGACTTAAGCTAGAGAGAAACTACTGAGAATGATTTTATAAAAGCTTACATTTTGTCATTTATTTTTAACGATTATGGCAATTTGTGTGTTTCCATTATAATGATATTTTTTTTTATATTCAATATGTGTGATATTTATTAAAACATTAGATTAATACCGAGTATTCTGAAAAAAAAATCTAATAAAAGTAGAAATAAAATTTAAATATACAAAATATAAGTACCTGTAGCTCCTAGTAATGTTAAATTTGTTTCGATACTATTAAAGCTATCTCTTATCCTTCGTTCTAAATTATCTACACTAAGTTCTAAGTCTTGATGCTTTCTATTCCACTCATCGTATTGATGTTGAGCCAGAATCCTCTTTGCCATTACTAGAATACGAAGACCTTCCCTCGAATAATTATTTAGATGTTGTTGAGTCTTGTTGATTATCATTGTCTGTTCCGAATCATCCTCGAACGGAGTTAATTGCGGTAATATGGAAGAATCGGCACCTAAAAATAAAAAATGATTAATGTACACTTCCCGTCATATAAAACTGGTACACTTTTTTTTCCCAATGTAAACCTGTGTTCACAAATCAATTCGTTGTTGCCAATACAGATAACGGAATTGCACTAAATCTAAATAAAAAAATAACGTTAAAAAATGTATAAAATTTTTAGATAGGTATTATTTTTATCATTAACGTCAAAAAATCGTATCTAAGAAATTAAATAAGCAAAGACAGGGTTGTCCGACAGCAAATGAGGAACGAGAAACAGTCTTTGGAAGTCATACCTTTGAACGTGTTGACAACTTCACATACCTTGGGTCGCTATTGACTGCTACCAATAAAACAAGCGAAGAAATCAAAAGACGAATAAATCTTACAAATAGAGCATACTATGGACTCCAAAAGCATTTCCACTCAAGAAACATTCAAAGAAGAACTAAAATTATTATATACAAAACATTGCTGAGGCCGGTCCTCACATATGGAGCAGAAACATGGACATTAACGCAGAAAGATGAAAGACTTTTGGGAATATTTGAGCGTAAAATACTCCGCAAAATATTTGGAGCTGTAAACGACCAAGGGCAGTGGCGCAGAAGATATAATTTTGAATTGTATCAGCTCTTTGATGAGCCAGATGTCATAACGTTCATTAAAACACAGCGACTTAGATGGGCTGGACACATAATACGAATGCCAGAAAATACCATTGCTAAAAAGCTAACCACAGGAACACCTGTAGGAACAAGAAGCAAAGGCCGACCGCGAATTAGGTGGTTAGATGGAGTAGAAACCGACTTACGAATATTAAAAATCAGAAGATGGCAACATGTTGCCAAAAACCGAACAGAATGGCGACGAATCTTAGAGCAGGCCAAGATCCACAGAGGATTGTCGAGCCAAAGATGATGATGAAAGACAGGGTTGAGTTATTGTCCAAAATGTTTGCAGGATCTTTAAACCTGTGGTATTGGCACAGGGCACAGGGAACATTGGAATGCACCTACTGTAATTTTATACTTCAATTACCTACCGAACACGAACTGTATTTTGTGTCAATAAGTTTAGTAACAAACTACCAAGATTAAATTATTATTTATTACAGGAACAATAAATGTAAAAAAATAACATTTTACTTTATCCTACGTATTATAAACTATAAAATATCCGTGGCGAAAAAACGCTTTTCAAAACGATTGAAACGACAGTTTCAATCCAATATCTCACTGTAATATTTTATTATAATAATTTGAAGTTTGTCTATGTTGATTATCTGTCATTATTTTTGAATTGAAATATTTTCATAAATTGTTATAAAATACAAATCAATGGTAATTAATTGAGATGATGGAAAATTACAAAATTAATATGAGAATTTTTTAGGATGCATGTTTAAACAAATTTAATGTGACTGACTGATCGAGAATGCTCGATAATGTTTTAGTTTTTAGTATTGTCACAACTGGCGGTCTGTCACACAGTCCTGCTTTTAGCTGGTTTTATATAATATTTTCGTTGAACTGGCAATGGTGCCCTAGAAATTAGAATGACACATCTGACAAGATCAACTTACACAACTTAAAAAACACGATTTTTGATTATAAGAATTGTACCAGTTTTTTATGACGGGAACGGTACTACTGTACAATATATTATTTGTAGACTGTACCACGTTAAAAATCATTTGTTATTGGACAGAAATATCTTGCTGCCTTTTTCGATAGAAGAAAAGCCTTTGCCATGGCTTGGAGATACAACATTCTTAACACATTGAGTCATTGGGTTGTCAATGGTAACATGCTATTATTTTCTTAACAAGAGACAATTTAAAGTTAAGATAAATGGTACAATATCAGCACTAAAGACCAAACAAATGGAACACCTAAAGAACCTGTGTTAAAAGAAAAGACAGTTAAGATTTGATTTCACGTATAGTGCCTCTGTATATTCGTTTATACGTATTTCATCCTACCAGCATTCATCAGAACGACTGGTACAAAAGCTCTAAAAGTGAAGTCAAATATTTTCCGTCAGAAGAAGAAACAATAAAATGGCTTCAATATGGACGCTATATTGTATTGCTATGTTCTATTGTATTACCAGAACCAAATGTATTTTATTTTCAAAAAAACGGGACTCTACAAATCCAGATCTTCAGTTATATAGAAACCACTTAACTTATGTGAAAATTATTTTAAATATGAGAAGAAGAAGATCGTCAGTGGATCGTCAATGAAGAGTGTCATATTATTCGTCAGAATAATCTGACACTCGCCATTCTTGTCTACGTCAGAGTTTCCCAAACTTATCTAAACCGCGACCCCTTTTTGCTAAAAAAATTTATTCGCGACCCCCCAATATCCTCCCACTCATTTATTCAATATTATTTGACAGAAATAGCGTGCCTAATTTACAATTATCTGATGGTTTTTCAAATTTAATTTTACTTTACTGTTTAAGTTTAAATCAAAAACAATTATTTTATTTTAATACAATTATTTTAATGATTGCGATCTGTCCCACTAGTAATTAGTACTAGGTACTTCTGCCAGAATAGCATTTACAATAAAAATAAATAATAAGAAGTCGACTGCACATTGTACACCGCGACATATTAGCTTGTGTCTACATCGAAAAACTCTTCCATGATAATCGCGAAAGCGCTCGCTACTAGATGGCACTCTGGAACGTTCTCGTAGCCTCGTTTTGGCTCTATATAAGCGGCGATGCGCAACGAAACCTCAGTTCGAATCCAAACAGCCTATGGTGGCAAACGCGGTGTTGAGTAATGAGTAAATATTTTACGACTTACGTATTCCCGTTTACGTATTTACGTCTACGATAAATTATGGATAAGTTTTTAAAAAGAAGTGCAGAACCATCTACGTCGGAAAGTGGCAGTAGCAGCAATAAAAAGAAAAACAGATTCTACATTGATGAATATCTTAAATATGGTTTTACCGTTATTTCCAATAAACCACAATATGTTATTTGTGGACAAGTGTTGTCAAAAGAAAGCATGAAGCCATCAAAGTTACTTCGACATTTAAATAGCAAACATCCAGATAAAAAAGACAAGCCCGTAGAATTCTTTGAAAGAAAGCTGAACGTCCTTCACAAACAGCAAGACAGTTTTCCCTTGGCAACCACTACTAATGAAAAAGCATTATTAGCAAGTTATAAAGTTGCTTATCGTGTTGCCAAAACTAATAATCCGCACACAATTGCTGAAAATCTGATTTTTCCAGCAGCTGTTGAAATGGTACATATAATGAATGGGGAAAGAGAGGCTGCAAAATTAAATACAATACCTCTGTCAAATAATACTATCCAAAGAAGAATTAGTGATATGGCAGAAGATATTCAAGCACAAGTTGTGGAAAATCTTAATAAATGCACGTACTTCTCTCTTCAAATGGATAATCCACAATAAACTGTGCCCAATTCATTACGTTTGTAGGATATGATACAAATAATGGCATTCAAGAAGATATTTTATTTTGTTCCCCATTGGAGACCAATACCACTGGAAAATGTTTACTAGACACTTTTGTGAAACGTACAAGTAAATATGATATTGACTGGGGTAAATGTATTGATATATGCACAGATGGCGCTAAAGCTATGACAGGACATAAATCTGGTCTTGTCGTCAAATTACAAGAAATAATGTCTAATGCCAAATGGAGACATTGTTTTTTACATCGAGAAACTCTTGTGTCCAAAGCTTTACCTCCTGAAATGGACTGTGTTATGAAAACCATCATTAAAGTTGTAAATTCTATTAAAGGAAAAGCTTTGCAGACCCGTATTTTTAGAAAAATTTGCGAAGACATGGGTGCTTTATTTGAAAAGCTTCTCTATCACACCGAAGTAAGGTGGCTTTCCAGGGGCAACGCCTTAAAATGAGTATTTCACTTAAAAGCAGAGTTTTTAATGTATTTGAAAGATGAGAAGTCCCCATATGAAAATCAATTTTCCGATCCTATTTGGCTTCTGAAACTAGGTTTCCTTGCTGATATTTTCGAGCAATTAAATATTTTGAACAGTAATTTACAAGGTCGCGACATTAATATAATTACAGCCACAGATAAAATTAAGGCGTTTCTAAGAAAAATCGATTTATGGTCGACTTCACTTGGCAAAAAACAACTCGATTCATTCCAGTGCCTTCAGGAAATTATGGAAAAATGTATCCAATTACAGTGCTACAAATTTTGAACAAGTTTTTGCTGACATGCATGTTACTTTGCTCAATTTAAAACAACAGTTCTGTGATTATTTCCCCGAAGAAATTCAAAACAGTTACGACAGTTGCAGATGGATACTAAATACGTTTTTAGCCGATTCCTTTCAGCATGTTGAAATACCAATAAACATGAAAGAAAAACTTATTGAAATATCAAGTGATGGAATGTTGAAGCTCCAATTTTTTTCCCAGAACTCCGACCAATTTTGGACCGAAAAGATGCAGGAATACCCCAGTTGGCGATTTAAGCTGTAAAATGTTTGGTTCCATTTGTAACATCATATTTGTGTGAGTTAAGTTTCTCGTCTATGACTGCCATTAAAACAAGAGTTAGAAATCGTCTCGTACTTGAAAATGATATAATTGTGTGTGTCTCAAATACACAGCCTAGATTTGAAAGATTAGTTTCACAGAAACAGGCGCATAGCTCTCATTAAGATTATAATATTTGACTTTGTTTTACTCTTTTATTTTTACGGACTTTAATATTTAGTTTTATATTTCGTCTGATAATTAATTGTTAATTTCTATTTACGGCGTTGATTAAAATAAAGATACATGATCTAACAAAGTGGTGCTTTTGTCTTATTTTGGAAATGTTCGGAGACCCCCCTAGTACCACATGGCGACCCCCCAGGGGTTCGCGACCCCCACTTTGGGAAACACTGGTCTACGTTATAAACGTAGTGATCTTGGACTATAATAAATAAACAAATCTTTAGAATTAGGAAACGCCTCTATATGCACCTTGTACTTGCGCTGCGAACTCTGTTTCTTAATGTATAATGTAGTATTCTAAAAAATCCTTTCACTTCCGTGTTTACAGTAGTTTTTTGCGTTCGATTTGTATCACCTCGGGTTTCAGCCATGTAGAAAATTACTGGTTTAACAACAGCGTTCTTCTTCTTACAACATATAAGATGAAATAAGCAGTTAGCATATTATTGTCCAGGAATACAAGAGAGGAAGAGGAACATATCGGAAAAGATGGAAAATAGAAATCAGTGAAAGAGACTAAGAAGGGCCTTTACCTTACGCTAAAAAAGATAAAGCTAGTAAGGATAGATGGACTGATCATATTATTTATTTTTTGTTGTTAGTTCTTTTAAAGTTTTAAAGTTAATGGAGGGTAACATTTATTTTCGATTGCGTTTTACTAAACTAAAAAAACCGTGTCGTTAAAAACTAACTTCCATAAGAAAATATTACTTCAGTCACATCTAAAAATATGTAATATTATACCAACTTACCTTTAGTGTATAAAATTATCTGTTTCGTGTGCGGATGCCTCACAATTATACTCATTCTTTTTCTTACGGAATCGAAGGGCAGCACGTTTAAAATCTCGAAGTGCATCTTTCCGTTTTCCGCCGCTTCTACGCAAACAGACGTCGGAGTTCTTTTCAATAGCCGCGTTCCATAATTGTACGCCGTGTCCACTAACGCCAACTCGTCGGGACTTTCCGCTTCAAAAATTGGTTTGTGATCAAAGGGAGACGGAGTCGTTGACGCGTTTAATTTTACCTTTTGCTCGTCGGTCAGATTGGTGCATTTCTTCAGAAAACCTACTTGTGGAAATAAGCGAATTAGTTTAAAAGTTAAATATAACCCCAAATTGTTTTATTTATAAAATATTATAAAATATTATCAAATATCTTCTGGGAAATTAACAACAAAATATTCTCAAATTATTGTGGCATTTTGATATTAATTTCTCTTTTCCAAATCCATCAAGAAAACGCGAAATATGGTGCGTCACAAACATTAAAATTGCTGTTATATTTTGTGACGTGGATATATGTCTGACGTTGATACCTATTGCGATGATGACGACGACGACATTTTTATATTATCTCCGTCTACTTCTCCGTCTACTACTCCGTTTGTGGTAAGTCCAATGGTGACGTTATTGACACCAGAATTGAACAATTATTTGGTTTAGCTGATGAATCTGAAGCTGATGTTTCTTCTATATTCTATGAGATTAATTCCTCAACTGAAAGAACAGCTAAGAATGACCCACAAGAAAACCAAGTGTCTTGGTGTAACCGACTCCAATGGTTACCTCAATTAATCTTACTGCTGAGCAAGGATTTCAAATATCTAATAGACAATGAACTTCTAAAAGAGATATTCTAGCCACAAAACCAACCCATAAAAGCAAACCAATATTTTATTTTGAGAATTCCTTTTCTTTTTATATAGTAGAATAAATTGTTACTCAAAAAAATTAAAGAATGTGCAAAAAGACAGCCAAACTACAAAAACATTAACAAAAAGAAATAAAGGCATTGTTAGGGTCTTTATTTTAATGGGTGTGCACCATGGACGTATAAACATAGATGGACACAGCAATAAGATACCTTTAACACACAATGTTTTGAAGCTTCGATAGAATGTGATGCTTCCGCAATGAGCATAAGGGTGCTTGAATTATTACTCGCGGGTAATTATTCAAATTTTAAAAATTGGAAGTAGTAATAATGTATAAAAACACGTTCAAAGAATTTAAAAAAAAAAACGAGAGTTTAACTATTAACAAATCACGTCTTTATAGAAAAATTAAAATACAATTTTATTTGCTTTAAAATTAATACAATAAAATATAGTTGAATTCAAGTTAATTTTTAATAGGTATCAAAATAATGCTACAATAAAAAATCTTTATGTTTTCTCTTAAATTTGCTACCAAAATAGTTCGATCGTATATATTATTTGGAGTTTTATTCATTTCACTAATTTATTTGCATTCATGAGAAATATTATTTAATACATTAATGAACATGAATAAACCCAATGGTACGCCTATTAAAATGTAAACAAACACGCTTCCTCATTTCCTCAACTTAAATAATGTAAATTTTATGTACTTACAAATGAAATGAGAGATCGGGATGTAAATATTTCGTTTATTTTATTTCACTTTTCACAAATATCACTCAAAATACAGCCAAAATCTCGAAAAACAACTTTTACTAAAAAGTAAACAAACATGGAACAGCATTTGAAGTTTGACGTAGATCCATAAGACAGAGAAATGTAAACAACCGTTGCCATTTATAAATAGTTTTCAGTGCTTCTACATATAAAATAATTGATTGATATCTAAATTATACGTTATTATTAAATGATGATGCACACTATGTGTACACTTTATATTTTGATTACAATTAAATATATTAATCTAACCAATAAATTATTATTTTGGTTTGATAGCACCTGTAGAGTATAAAATACGGAGTAATATTTTCAGCGACTCGCGAATAAGAAATTTTAAAACAAAACGTGACAACAGCTGAAGGTGCTGAGAATGTGACCTATTCAAATAATTTTGACTTCACAATTTTATGTAAATAACTGAGTCCATCTGTGTTTATACGTCCATGGTGTGCACCCTTTGCCAGACACTGATTTAAATTGGTCAAGTGATCCTTATAATAATCTTGTTATCTACAAAGTTTTTAAAATAACCAGAGTCGAAAAGTTAATAGAAAATATCCGTCTAAATGACAATTCAGCAGCTACAGAAAGAGTTTCACAACAAAAAGAAATAAAGGCATTGTTAAGTCTTTATTTTAATGGGTGTGCACCCTTTGCCAGACACTGATTCAAATTGGTCAAGTGATCCTTATAATAATCTTAATATTGTTCTGAAGCTATTTTCTTGTGGCATTGTAAATTAATTACTATTAAACTGGGAATAAGCCAGAATTAAAGATAAAAATACGTTTATTGACGTTTCAATTTCCACTTCGGAAATCGTTCTCAAAATACAAACAGTAAATTAAACAAATTTTGTTTTTTTGTTACATAGTGAAAAATTCTTCTAATAATTTAATTTTATCTGACTCATTTATATTGACAATTCAGACATACATTATGCATTTTAAAGTAGACGACTTTAAAATGATATTGCCAATATTGTTGAGTTGCGCTCCTGGGACGACTTTACTTATAAGATAGTTCATTCGATTACATGAAATCAACTTTAACTTGACAATATCCGTCAGAAAAAAAAATCATAGCATGTAATTCGTCTTTAAAAAGACAAACACATGACATAATGACATTAAAATTCTCCTGTTAGTGATTCCATAGTAAATTATGAGGGAAAAACCAGGAAAAAAACATTACACCTCATTACAGTAAGACTCCTCATTTTTATGGAGTACCGAAAATTCATAAAACGAATATACCACTTAGACCCATTTGTAGTACCATGAATTCTCCTTGTAGTGAACTATCAAAATTTTTATTAAATATTTTAAAACCATTTACAAATAAAAATGACACATTCATAAAAAATACACAACATTTTTTAAATAAATTATCTAATATTGAATTTAATTCAAATCATACTTTGGTAAGTTTTGACATAAATAATTTACGAATGTGCCATTAAATAAGACTTTAAGTATAGTCAAGACAAAATTAGAGAGTGATGATTCATTGGCAACTAGAACAAGACTAAACATATCGACTATAATGGAGTTATTAACATTATGTACTGATAATACATATTTTCAACTAAATAATGAATTCTATAAACAAAATTTTGGTCTAGCAATGGGCTCTAGTTTATCTCCATTCTTAGCCGATATATTTATGGAAGATTTTGAAACACATATCATTTCTAAACAAAATTTCACACCCACAGTATGGTGGAGGTATGTAGATGATGTATTCTCAATATGGCCTCATGGATCAGAGTTGTTGGACACATTCCTAAATGATATAAATGATAAAGAAGAGACAATAACATTTACCATGGAAAAGGAGTATAATAACACGCTACCTTTCCTGGATGTTTTAATCTCTAAGAACGATACTGGATATGAGACTCAGGTGTATAGAAAACCAACACACACCAATAGATATTTAAAGTTCAAATCAAATCACAATATTAATGTAAAAAAGGGAATAATTAAATCCTTATACGATAGAGCCAAAATTACTTGTTCTAACGAAAATTCGTTCTTGGAGGAGAAACATTTGTTAACTTCTGTTTTATTAAAAAATGATTATCCTTTATCGTTTATAAATAAGGAATTTTCAACAATCGATCGAATAGAACAGAACAACTTAGAACGAGATCCTACAGCATACACAAGGAATAATATGAGGAAAATAACAATACCGTACATAAAAGGACTATCAGAAAAACTTAAAAGGATAGGAAATAAATTCAACATTTCAACAACATTCAAAACAACAAATACGTTGAGATATATTTTGTCCAAAACCAAACCTAACAATGAACAAGAAAGGACAAAGAATTGCATTTATAAAATACCTTGTGAATGCAATCAGTTTTATTTAGGTGAATCATCAAGGCCATTAAATGTTAGAATAAGTGAACATCAATCTTATATTAAAAATAGGGAATTTGATAGATCTCAAATCTGTAAACACGCTTAGGATAATGAACATAGGGTTCAATGGAATAATTCAAATGTAGTCCTAAAAGAAACGGATGGTAAAAAAAGAAAAATCAAAGAAGCGGCTCTAATTATGCGGCCAATTGTGTCGCAAATTCCTCGGCAGAATGTAGTAGGATCTGGTTACCAATATTGAAAGAGGAAGTTATTAATAAGAAAATACCAGTATTAGTAAGTCAGTAACATATAGAGGATACATTATTTTTTATGTTTTTTAAATAACGTAACATATAAAATCAGAATTTTGATGTTTGTTGAAGGTAAACTAAATTCACGACCAAATACTTACAATGTCGGGATAGTATTATGAGGTTTTTTTCCTGGTTTTTCCCTCATAATTTACTATGGAATCACTAACAGGAGAATTTTACTGTCATCATGTCATGTGTTTGTCTTTTTAAAGACGAATTACATGCTATGATTTTTTTTCTGACGGATATTTTCAAGTTAAAGTTGGTTTCATGTAATCGAATGAATTATCTTATAAGTAAAGTCGTCTACTTTAAAATGCATAATGTATGTCTGAATTGTCAATATAAATGAGTCAGATAAAATTAAATTATTAGAAGAATTTTTCACTATGTAACAAAAAAACAAAATTTGTTTAATTTACTGTTTGTATTTTGAGAACGATTTCCGAAGTGGAAATTGAAACGTCAATAAACGTATTTTTATCTTTAATTGTGGCTTATTCCCAGTTTAATAGTAATATAATAATCTTGTTATCTACAAAGTTTTTAAAATAACCAGAGTCGAAAAGTTAATAGAAAATATCCGTCTAAATGACAATTTAGCAGCTACAGAAAGAATTTCATCTAACTTTGTCATATTGTACAAAATAAAAGAACATTTATATTTAGACTAAATGAAATTTTTAAGTCAATCCTGGAAGTAAATTTTCCATTGATTGTATGGAGAACTACTAACCAGATATTAAATATATATTGTTTGTTATTAATAAAATCTTCGTACTTACCGATAGGCATATTGAGCAATTTCGGTCGTGGAACCTTCGGCAGCGATGTGGCTTCGATTGTAGGAACTTCGCAAGACGGCGACGATTCTATAGAATCTATAGGCGAAAGCGTAGGGTTATGCTGAAGTCTCTTTGTATCAAATAAATATGTATTTAAAGGGGGAGAGGGAGTTACCGAACGTGATTCTTCCAGACGTGAGTACTTGTCGTTTGATGACAGTGATTGCGTAGCCGTATTGGTGGAGCTGCTCTCGCTAGAGTTTTGATCTAATTTGTCATACGGAGTTTCCTCGATAAAACCTAAAATAAATTAAAAAGGTTCTAAAAATGTTTTCTTGTGGCATGTCTAAGTGAGAGCGTCCACCAAACTGGCATGGCAAGTGGCAAGTAGCAAGTAGCACGGGTCTAGCATGTTACTTAAAATGTAACCAATGCAAACGAATGATTAGAATGAATGACAATGTCATTTTGGTGTGCGCTGAATCATTCGTTTTCATTAATTACATTTTAAATAACATGCTAGATGCGTGCTACTTACTACTTGTCACTTGCCATGTCAGTTTGGCGGGCGCTCTTCCTAAGTTAAATAGTATGTCTCTGTGGGGTTAAGCGACAACTGATTTAAAAAAAAAGTTCCATTTTATATTTATTTGACGTTTCGAAATTCAACTTCGGAAATCGTTTTAAAAAAAGTTTATTTTAAAATACTGAACTATTATTATAACCAAGTTGTTTGGGCGTAATTGTTTTCCAAATCGACGGTTGGCTTACTTCGCATTGATTTTGTAGGTATATAGCCAATGTCTTAGTTGATAATCCTGAGTGCGATGTTTGTAGCCTCAGGATGATATCAAATTCTAATTGTTTTGCGTGTTTATGTATTATGTGTTTATGTATATGTTTATGTATGGTGTGTTGTATATGTATTATATACAATTGTAGATGATGTATGACTTTCTATTAACTCGTTAATATTGGCATATTCTTGTTGCTGAATTGTTCTTTTAGTATTGGCAACCAGAGCTTGCTACATTCTGCTGATGGGTTGCTACAATTTTTCTTCGTTAAGTAAGATGAAAGCTGTGTCTGTGATTTTTCTCTTTTCATGCCTGTTTCTTTCATAACTATTGATTATCTTTCCATTGTTCATTATCCCAGGCATATTTGCATATCTGCGATTTGTAGAAAAAAACCGGTTTTTTTGTATGATTCATGCTCGTTCATTGTAACACTTAGTGGTCTTGCGGTTCTTCCTATATAAAAATTGTTGCATTCAGAGTATATTTTATGCATTAAAAATGTAGTTCTTTGATCTCTCTTGTATCTTGTTAGATCCGGTTTTAACAGAATAGATCTCAGTCTATCGTTTGTTTTAAATATTTTTGTGATGTACTTATTTCCTACCCTTTCTAATTTTTCTGATAAGCCCATTATATATGGTCTTCTTCTTTTTGTAGTTCCTTCTCCTATCGGAGGTTGGCTATCACAGCTATCCGTACTTTATTGGCGGCTGCTCTGAAAAGATCTACTGAACTGCACCTATACCACTCTCTTAGGTTTCTTACCCAATAAATTCTTCGTATTCCTATGGATGTTTTATCCTTCATTTTACCTTGCTTCAAGAGTAAATATCTCATATTTCGCACCTCTGGTAATGTGGCCTAAATATTCCAGCTTTCTTGTTTTGATGTGCTTTATGACCTCGCAATAACTCGTTGGGTCCATTGTATTTTCAAAATCTTTCTATAGCACCACATCTCAAATGATTCCAACTTCTTTCTATTATCCACTTTGAGTGTCCAGCTTTCCATTCAATATAACAAAGTCGAGAACACGTAGCATCTTAAGGCTCTTTACTTCAGCTCCAGAGGAAGGTCTCAATTAACAAACATTGTTTTCATTTTTACAAATGCTTGTCTTACAATTTCAATGCGTGTCCTTATTTCTATACCTTGGAAATTCTTTTCATTTAGGCAGGTTCTCAAATATTTGTAGTTATTCACTCTTTCTACTTGTTTTCCCTCGATATCTAGCCCTCCTACTGTATATTGTTTAGCTCCGTCACTCCATTTAGTGAGAACATCTGGACAGTTAAATATGGGAAGCCGCATTTTTTATTTAAATAAATTAATAGTAGTAGGCTCAGAAAATTTTAATACGGCTCTGTAAGGTTAACGGTGGTGGATTACCAATTTCGTACTTTGCCGGTATTACTTCCTGAGATCAAAGTGCCGACAGACGAGTAGTTTTACTGTGGAACCTCTTTATACTGTGGCTCCGTTCGGCTCGCGGAGATAAGACCCTGCCTGTCGCAAGAGGCGACTAATGGATGGGCAATAAGAGGTGAAGAGCCGTCGTTCGAGGTATCGGGTTTGTAGAAACGCACTCGAGATGCATAGCCATCTCGGTCACCGGTCTACATTCCCAGTATCCGAGAGGAGCATCTTGTGGGACCACTCTACTCTCATTTTCACAAGAGCCAGGTGAGGTTGAACGAGGTGGTACCGTAAATACCTCCCACGGCCTTACACCACCGAAGGTGGTGTGGTGACCCGGCACGTACTCACCTGGAAGGATTTACTAGTGGTAGAGGAGCAATTCCTCGACGATGACCTGTCTACGTGCGAGGCGGAATTCCTCCGCCTGCGTCGCCTTTCCGCCACCGGGGGAGGAGCTCCGGACGAGTGACGTACCCGCAACACAGGTACTACGGGTAAGGTGGAGCCCCACGATGTTTCGGCATCGTGCCACCTTAGTAGGTGTCGGACTCGTAGGGGCAGTGGTAACACTTACGGTCGTATGCCGAAAGGCCAGGAAGACCAGGGTTCAGCCAACTTTAATTGGTGGGAACACGAATTAGTCAATGTATATTGCTTAGACATAATCATGCACGTGGTTTTCTTAACGTTCATTTGTAGTCATGATGTAATCTTACTATTCTAATATATCTATTCCTAATCTTACTATCTATTCTTACTTGATGTAATCTATTTATTAAGCGTAGCAGTGCTTCTAGACTGTGCAAAACCAGCGTCATCGTCTGCGAATCTTATGTTGTTCAAGATTTTTTCATTTATTGATATACCCTGGTGTTCCTCTGATATTGTTTCCTTAAAAATAGCTTCGCTGTACAGATTCAATAACAATGGGAATAGCACGCAACCTTGTGTAACACCTCTTTTGATTTCTATAGTTACTGTATCGACATTTTCGATTCTAACCTTTGCTTTTTGATTCCAGTACAGATTGACAATAACCCGGATATCTCGACTATCCACATTTTTTTAACAGTTTTACGAGTTTCTGATGTCGTACTCTATCAGAAGCCTTTTGATAATTTATAAGCAGACATACAGATCCTGGTTCATATCTAGTGGTCTTTGCGCGAGAACGTTAAAAGCGAACAGAGCCTCTCTCGTTCCTACTCTAATCTAAATCCAAACTATATCTAGTTTGGATTTAGATTATTCTATAATGAATATATATATCATATCATCATCATCATCTATATCATCATCTATGGGTATCATCATCATCTATATCTTCTTCTATTTTTTTGTATAGTCTTCCATGTATTATTTTGAGAAATATCTTAAGTGTGTGGTTTAATAAGGAAATTGTTCTGTACTGCGAGCAGTATGTCACATGTATTGACTTTGGTAGTGTTACAAACGTGGACAGCAACCAATCTTCGGGTATTACTCCTGTTGTATATACTTTGTTGAACAGATAGATCTAAGCGTATATGCAGTGTATCTTCGTCAATGCATTTAATTACCTCAGTGGGTATCTGATCTGGGCCTACTGATTTTTCTAATTGCTTGTTTTTAATTCGAACATTATTATTTTCGGTCCTGTTTATTCCTGTGGTTCTTCATTTTATCATCGTCGAATAATTTTATTATGTATTCTTGCCAAAATCTTAGTTTATCTTTGATATCTGCAATGACTTCACTATTATCATCTTTGAGTATCCCATAGTGTGCTCGCTTTTTGGTATTTGTTAGTTCTTTTATTTTTTTATTCATATTATAGCTGTCGTATTTTCTGTCATAATCTTCTATTTCTATGCATTGGTTTGTTAACCACTTTTTCTTGCTCTTTTTTATCTCTACTTTAATTCTATTTTGTACTTTTGATATTTTGGCTCATTTCTTCCTTTGGCTTTTGTCCTCTCTTCCATTAATGCTAGAATTTCTGAAGTCATCCAATTCTGTTTTTAATTTGTCTTTTCAGGCTATAAATTTTCTTCTGCAGCCTTTAGTAATGCCTTCTGAATATTGCTCCACTTTTCATTGACATCTTCTGATGTTAACATTTCTTGTCCTACTTCTGTTAGATCTGAGTTGACTTGTTGGATCACTTTTTGATGTATTCCTCTTTTTTTAATTTTGTGTAATCCAACGTTGGTTTGTTTTTAGGTATTACAATATTTTTGAGTTTCACGTGCATTCTAGCTATTAGCGGGTTATGGTCTGAGTTGACATCTGCTCCGGGGTATGCTTTTACTGCTTTTACTGGTTTTTGTATCTTTTTATATATCTGGTATCGTTGTCATATTTAAATGCCTTCTTGTGAGCATTTCTGAATTGCTTGTGTTTTTTGTTTCTTTCTTTCAGTCCTTAAAATCGTTGTTTAAATGACACTTTTTGTTAAAACCTTTGTTAGCTGGTTTTGTTCTTCCTGAAATACTAGAACAAGTGTTTTAAGCTCTATCCTTATAACAATTCAGACTTCAGTCATCTGTCTCTTCATCAGTTTCTTCATGTAGACTCTCACGTCCTATAGTTGGCTAGAAAAATTGCTCTTTATCAATTTTTGCGTTAAGGTCTTACACAAATATTTTCACGTCATGACACTTTAACCAAGGTGTCGTAGAATTCATCTTTTTCGTCGTCTTCCTTTTCTTCCGTAGGTGCATGTACACTAAGTAAGTGATAATTAAAGAATTTTCCTTTAACACGTAGATAACCTATTTGGTTGTATTATCATACCACTGCGTAATATAATTGTATGTATATTTTAGGAATACCGACAAAAACCCTTACAAAAAAAAACATTTAAAATAACGAGGAACAATATCTGAATATAATATTTGGAGATGAGTTCTCTATATTTTTATATAAGCTAAAAACTATTTAAAAAATGATCGAAATATATAAAAAAAAATCGAACGAACTTACCACTGGCGTTCATGAGATCATGATGAGGATGTTTTGAACAAACTACAGTATTGCAGAGTGCCAATAATAATAAAAACTCTTGAATCCTAGCAGAATGGTATGATTTGGTAACATCTGAAAAGATCCCTTCCAACTGCAAGTCAGACACTAATCGACTGTTAACTGCAACCGAGCAATTTAGGATCGATTTCTCAGGGTTTCTAAAAAAGAGCAATAATTAATAACAGAATCGAAAAAGGTAAAAATTGTTAGGTTCTTAAAAAGGGTGACAGCAGTAGAACAAATCTCTACGAACCGCTTCCCATCTATGTCGGCCTAACTATTACATTTACACCTTTTTGATCACTATTTAAAAATATAAGCACATGGTCGTTCCATAAGTACTGCACCCAATAAAATAAACACAAAAACAGGAAAAAAGGTATTTATTTTTCATCAGAATCTCCTTACAGCTCTATACACTTCTCCCAGATATGGTCAGTAAGTTTGATACTCTTTTTATAATAAGAACTGTCTTGCTCTTTAAAATAGCCATTAGATGTTGACATAACTTCGTCACGGTTGGAAAATTGGTATCGATTTTTTCACGTTTTAGAACGAAACATGATCCTAGGGGCCTAAATCTGGCGAATACAGTGCATGAGATAGCCATTCAAACTTTAATTCATGAATTTTGGCCATTACAAGAACTGATCCGTGTGCAGACTCATTGTCTTCATGAAACAACACTTTCTTCTTAGCTAAATGCTTGACTTCTCCCATCAAATATTGCAATATATTCGCATAATACTCGCCGTTGATACTTTTCCTCTTTTTAAGATCCAAAGCCAAATTAAGCCAAAAAAAGTATCCCAAGCGCATTCCAAAACAACGACCATGATTTTGCCTGCTGATGAAGTGGTCGTCGCCTTTTCTGGGGTCGGTTTTCCCTGTTGAATCCATTGTTTTGATCGTTCTTTTGTTTCGGATGTGTGAAGTGATGAACCCATGTTTCGTGCAAGAATTCTGCTTTGTTGCTGTGAAACTTTGCTAAACACTGAATTGAAAAAACTTCATATAAAGACTATTAAAAAAAATAAACCGAACATATCTAATTTACTTCGGCCATATCTAGAATAGCCAGGGCCATGAAACTACTATTAGTAGAAGGAAAGATAGAAGGGCGAAGATCAAGAGCAAGGTCTCCAACACGATGGGTAGACTAAATGAAGACTCCGGTGGGAAAATCCCTACATGAAGCCGTCCATATGGCACAGGATCGCAGCCAAAGGAGACAGCAAGCCAATAATATTTAGAGTGTCACCACGCCCTGACAAGGGCTCAAATAATGAGGAGAAGGATATGTATGTATTAAATAAAGAACAACTTACCCAGCTGTTTCATTTTCGAGTAGATCGTGTTCATAATCAATACCGGCTATGGCACATCTTCGGAATATCATGCGGTTCTCCGTCAGAGTACCAGTTTTGTCAGAAAAAATATACTGGATTTGACCGAGTTCTTCTGTTATATTTAAGGCACGGCATTCAGTCCTCTTGTTTGTTAACGGATCGTAGAGATCAGCATTATGGTGAATGTGGTAAACTTGAATTATCTTACACATTTCTAGAGTTACGTATAGAGATAAAGGAATCATGATCTAAAACATAAACAAAATTAGATACAAACTAGCAGATATTATATTTGTTAAATTCATTCGAGCAATTTAATCCTATTATCTCTTCATACATACTTTGAGTTGTTTAATTTCTTTATAACACTGTATTTTATTTCAACAAAATGAGAAGAGTGCTATGTACCAGGGATTAACTGGAACTAAGAATTAGGTTGGCGAGGTGCTATGTTTATTCGACTTTATTTTATGGAATGAAATCTTGGACCTTGAATTCGACATCAATGAAAAAACTGGAATCATTCGAGCTGTGGGTGTACAGAAGAATTCTAAAAATATCGCGGACGGAACACGTCACAAACAAAGAGGTTCTGGGAAGGATGAATAAAAAAATGGACATTTTAAATACAATAAAAACAAGAAAATTAGAATATCTCGGACATATTACACGTGGAGAGAAATACACCTTGCTCCAACTGATTATGCAGGGAAAGATCCAAGGAAAGAGAAGCATGGGAAGGCGTAGAATGTCAAGGATGCGCAACCTGAGAGAGTGGTACGGATGTACATCAAATGAACTTTTCAGAGCAGCCGTCTCTGTCTGAATAGCTATGATGATTGCCGACCTCCGCCGCGGAGATGGCACTTGAAGAAGATTTTATTCAAAGTTTATGTCTACACATTTTAGGTTATCTGTTTCTGGAAGTGCATTTGTTATATTTCTTATACTACATACTCTCTCTATAAATACATGTATTTGTGGGTGAGTGTAAAAGTTTTTGAATTTTCTAACATTTTGTGTACCATATTTTTTTTAATACAACAAACGTATGTAAATACAAATTTAAAAAAAGTATATTTTTTATATAAGCGTTGGTAGCTGTTTGTGAAGTGCATCTGTTTCTCCACTTCTCGGGGTGAGATTTGGGGGCTAACTTGGGGTGAGCGATCAGCGATTTGTTTGAACCTGTTGTTGCAGATAGATACATAAGACAGGAGTCCAATGTGCTGTCTTTTATAATAAGTTTTTTCAAAGAACTTTTCAAGATTTTAACTTTTAAAGGAAAATTTTGTATTTTTCTACCAATGGGATTCCTCTTTAGTTCATAGCTCTGAGTATTGATTGGTAACTCGAAAAAGCTCAGCTAAGAATTGGAATTTTTTTACACACTTCAAAAATATTTTTCTTTCCCAATCTTACACAAAACAAATATTATTTGTGAAAATAAAGAACTAAGTCTAATTTGGTTTAATAGGTTTAATAGTCTGAATGAAATATTCCATGTATGTTGGGTAAGATTAGAAGATGCAGAATCGGGAACACTTGATTAGGAAAAGGGCTTGGGTGACTACAGTTTCAAAAAAGTTCAAAAACAACCACTGCAATGGTTCGGTCACGTCAGACGTAAAAATGAAATAAAATAAAACGTCAAACACGTGGGATGAATGATGCAGCTGTTAGAAGTTAAGGTAAAGAGAGGTGAAGGAAAACCGAGGAGAAGATGGACTGTGTTTCAGATGAAGGTTTAATAAGATGAAGAAAATACGATGGACAGAAATCAATCAGTTAGTTATACAGATTGAACGAAATAAATTCGGAACATACGAAATATTATTTATTTCGGCTCAATTCTGCTATAGGTGGTTGACCAACAAAAGGTTGTCAAATAATTATATTATAAAAATCCAATACTTCAGCGGGCTGCTGGATTCTGAAATCATAAAAATTGAAAACTACACATAAATCTACGATTTTATTATGCTGTCAAACCACTTATAGTCCAGGAAATGAAAAATTCTTCTAATAATTTAATTTTATCTGACTCATTTATATTGACAATTCAGACATACATTATGCATTTTAAAGTAGACGACTTTAAAATATTTCCAATATTGTTGAGTTGCTCTCCTGGGACGACTTTACTTATAAGATAGTTCATTCGATTACATGAAATCAACTTTAACTTGAGAATATCCGTCAGAAAAAATCATAGCATGTAATTCGTCTTTAAAAAGACAAACACATGACATGATGACAGTAAAATTCTCCTGTTAGTGATTCCATAGTAAATTATGAGGAAATGAAGTATTTCACCTTGCAATTTTTTCGTCCTGCGTGGATTGACTTGAAATTTTAACAGAAGGTAGATAATAGCCAAGGATCAAAATCTATATCGAACCAAAATGCGCCAAACCCTTGGGGGTGGTTGCCACCCCATCTGGAGGGTGAATTTTTTTTTACGTTTTGTAGGTTTCGATTAAAAAAGTGATTCTAAACAAAAAATACTCTATACATTTTTTTTGTGAAACTGATATTTTTTAAGTTATTCGCGATTGAAAGTAACAACTTTTAGACGAAAAAATCGACGTTTTTAATCGATTTTTCGCGAATAACTCGAAAATGGTGCATTTTATCAAAAAATTGTAGAGAACAAATTTGTAGCTTTTAAAAAGACAAATACAATTCATTTTTTTAAATGTTTTTGCGATATAATAGGAACCGAAATACGGCCTATCAATGTTCAGCGGTTTTCTTCAAATGCCAAATTTGAAAGATTCAAAGTCAAATATCGGGAAAATGATGCATTTTTGGAAGAAAACTCACAAAACCTTTTTTAAAGAGTATAAATAGACCTATCATAAAAAAAGACTGTAGCTCAAAAATTGAGTGAGTTATGATGAAAATAAGGTCAATACAATAATTAAAATCGATCTTCACCCTTCTGCAATTTTCTTTGTACATGTATTGTTAATACGTCCAAGAAGTTTGACCCATGTAAAATGCTTAGTTTTAGAAAAAGTACAGCATAAAGCGAGAAACGATTTTATATGAAAAAATAAAAATGTACTAAATTGTAGCTTTTTTAATGACTAAAATTTGTACAATTGTACAATGAATATTTGGCGAGATATAGCCGTTTAAAGCATCGATTTACGATCAAGCACCATCTGTTTCGAGCCCTTTAAACTCACCCCATTTAAAAACCAAGGGTTCCAAAAAGATTTAATTCGCAGATCCTTGTAGCTCTTAAAAACCTCTACAAAATCGTTTTTGAAGAAACACTCTATCGTTAAAAATAAAGGAAATGCGTTAAAAAAACCAATTAATTTTTTTTCCGGAAAATTCCGTTAGTATAGTACAGTACATTTCTGTGCATAATAATCTACAAAACCGGTATATTAGGTAGTGGGGCGTTATACATTCGAAATTTTAAGCGTTCTTATTTTGAAATACCATACAACAGAATAAAACATCTGTGTTGATTGATGCCTAATTTTTTTGTATTTAATTCTACTTTTTTCAATTTATATCTATTAAATTAGTTTATAAAAACTGCAATGTTGTAAAGGTTGATTTTCAAAAGTTAAAAAGGTGCAAAATTTTGGCAAAAAATTGTTTTTACCTATAGCACTCATAACAATTGATTTTTAAGGGTTGAAAATGTATGAAATTGTATTTTAAAGTATAAAAAAATCACTATTTAACTAATCCAAACCAAATTTCACTCATCTTAAGATTTGTAATGTTATTTTACAATTTTTGAAAATTAGGAGTAGTTTTCACCCCTAAGAACAATCAAGGTTCATCGGCATGACATAAACTATAAAGCAGAGGGTGAGTTGAGCTTAATTCCAAATTTTTATGCAAATCGTTCCAAGGCGAAATCATTTTCTTCGCATTACTACTTTTTTTTACATTAATCTCTAACAAGGGTCGCTTTTTAAGGGTTGAAATATGATGAAACTTTATTCAAAAGCACGAAACTATCATTATTTAATTAATTCAAACCAAATTTTACCTATATTCAAGTTTAATATGTTATTTTATAATTTTTGACAATTAGGGGTAGTTTTCACCCCTAAGAACAATCAGGGTTCGTCGACATGACACAAACTATAAAGCAGTGGGTGAATTGAGCTTAAATCCAAATTTTTATCTCAATCGATCCAAGGCGAAATCATTTTTTTAGAATTAGTAATTTTTTACATTAATCTCTAACAAGGGTTGCTTTTTAAGGGTTAAAATATGATGAAACTCTATTCAAAGGTATAAAATAATCATTATTTAACTAATTCAAACCAAATCTTACCCATATTCAGGTTTAGTATGTTATTTTATAATTTTTGACAATTAGGGGTAGTTTTCATCCCTAAAACCCTTCAGCACACTGCGGTTCGATATAGATTTTGATCCTTGGGCTATCACCTACCTTCTGTTACAATTTCAACTCAATCCACGCAGGGCGAAAAAATTGCGAAGTTTTAACTTTTTCGAGCTTCATTTCCTGAACTATTATCGCTTCCTTTACACAAACAACATTGTTGCGAGACAGATAGTTGAACGATATTTTATACAATGTCTATACCCAGGTATGGATTTATTTTTGTCCAAGTTTTATATTGGTCCACTATTTCAAATGCAGTTCAAACAGACATGTATTAAATTGTATGTTCCGTTTTAAATTCGTTCAGTCTGTATAGTTGTATAGTTAGTTGTACTACCATTATCTTTGTCTTGCTTTTATTGTTTTTTAGTAACTCCCAATACAAAGTAGGGCTTATATGGTAGTATACAACTTCCATAAGCTATAAACGATATTAAAAAGCATACCTGTAAAATAATAATGAATGTCCAAAAGGCTAAAAAGGATTCACTTTCCGTATTGCCACTAAGTCTGCAACCTATGGCTCCCAACACACACATAAATATTAAAATAAAAACACACCAAATAACGTCTTGGTTCATTTGTTTCTCTACAGAAGATCGCTTATATCTAGGTCCACCATTGTTTAACATCGCTTTAGTTTCATGACCTGGAACAAATAATTGTAATTTTAAGTCCGGATTGAAGGAATGTTGCGTTTTTACTTAATTAGATTAACTTTACTTAATTTTACTTAATTAATAATTTAGAATTTTTAGTCAAAATGTTAATTTTACAAATGTTTACAAATAAAATTTCTGCCACAGTTGGTTGGTACAAAGGTCATAGTGGAGACAAGCTATTGAGTAAAAAGGTTTAAAACTTGTAGGATAAAACTTGTAGGATATTATTACAAATAAAATGATAACTTTGGATGGTGAAATGATTGTGAAAAGTAATAGTTTCAAGTACCTAGCTTTAGCAAGGTAAGGGGAATGATAATGATGTATCATATTAGATAATCATAAAAGATTTACAGGAAACTGGTGAAAAATTGCATGGTGGTATCATTTTATAAGAATAAAATAATTAAAAACAACTCCCGTATTGATAATAGTATTAGAGAACAGAAAACTTACCTGCGTAAACCACAATTCCTTCCACAAAGTCAGTATTTTTTAAAAGGCACTCTCTTAATAATAAATTATCAGTTCCAACGGGTACTCTACTTCCATTAGGGTGTACTATTGCACCATGGAATCTATAAATTTTTGTAGTAGGCGCTTCCACTTCGATTGAGCTCCGAAATTTACTAGGTTCAAAGACACTTTGCTGAAAAGAAAATATTATATTAAAAACAACAACAAATTTGAACAAAATAAGTTTAATAAATAATCACAGCGTTCTTAATCTACGATATCTAGCTCTTTAATCCATTTAGGTCCCTAGCAACATAATGCAATTTTTGGTACATTTATACTGAATTTTTTTTTTAAATTACTAAAGTGGCATGAATACTACGTAGAACTACTTACAGAAAACCGTCCCCAATTTCAGGAAGAGAATACAGAACATGCAGGAAATGGGACATACGACCAGATAGAAATAAGTCTGACAGAAGTCAAGAGAGCAATCAAGACATTGAAGAACAAAAAAGTCAAAGGACCCGGGGGGATACCAAACGAACTAATTAAAAACGGAACGGAAAAGTTATTCCGCATGCTACGCAGAATGTTCGAAAGAGGACTAAATGGATAGGAAATACCTGCGGAATGGACACAAGCATACATCACATCCATATATAAGAAAGGAAACAGGAAAAAATGTGAAAACTTCAGAGGAATTAGTATAATATCGTTGGTAGGTAGACTTTACGGGAAAATTATCAAGGAAAAACTAGATACTGAAATAATAGGAAAAATTGGAGAAGACCAAGCAGGGTTCACACTAGGAAAATCATGCCTAGATCATACGTACACATTAGAACAACTGATAGAGAAAAAAATGGCAAAAGGTAGACCGGTCCATCTGGCGTTTGTTGATCTAAAGAAAGCATAAGACTCAATACCTAGAGTCAAATTATGGGAAGCAATGAATGATCTCGGAATCCGACAAACACTAATAAAAACAGTTAAAGCACTGTACACAGATAACAAAGTAGCTATTAAATGTGGAAATAAAGCCAACAATCCATTTAAGACGACAAAAGGACTTCTACAAGGCTGAACTACGTCCCCTACTCTGTTTAAAATATTCTTGGAAAAGACACTCAAACCATGGAGGAGAAAGTGCGAAGGAATGAGCATACCAGTAAGAGACGAATACCTATACACCTTAAGTTTAGCCGACGATCAAGTAGTCATCGCACAAGATGAAGAAGATCTCAGCTTTATGCTCAGAAAACGAGAGAAGTCAAGTAAATGGAATAGATAAATTCAAGTATTTAGGAACCATAATATCGAACCAGCGAACAACAGAAGAAGATATAAACAACAGACTAAGACAAACAAGAAACTGTATAAGACAACTAAATTCAGTGCTGTGGGATAAGAACATTACGATAAAGACAAAAAAGAGAATATATAATACCCTGACAAGAAGTATGCTGACATATGGGTCCGAAAACTGGACAATAAACGAAAGAAATAGAGGTAGAATAAGAGCAGTAGAAATGGAGTTCCTGAGGAGAAGCTGTAGACTTACAAAAAGAGACAGAATTGAAAACGCAGAGATTAAGCGGAGAATGGGAGTGCAATCAGACATAATCGACTATATAGAGGAGAAGAGACTATCCTGGTACGGCCTGGTCAGAAGAGCGGACAGAGGACGCTGAATAAACAAAATCACAGAATGGAGTCCGATCGGAAGAAGAAAGAGAGGAAGACCCCGAAGGTCATTCAGAGACGAAATCGACGAGGCTATGGAGAAAAGAACCCTGCGAGATGGAGACTGGAATGACAGGGAAAATTGGAGAAAACGGTTGAGTGAAGGAAGACAGTGAAAACTGTGGAAATCCTTAGTAGTAGTAGTAGCTTACATCAACACAGAATTAGATCCAGACCAAGAGATTAGGGTACGAATAGAAATAGTAAGGCGTTTTTAAAATTCAAGCAATTGTTCTGACAAAAATCTTAATACTGCGCTGAAACTGAGGTTTGTTGAATGTTACGTCTGGTTCCAACTATTGTACGGGGTAGAAACATGGACATTAAAAGGCAAATTGTTAAGAAGCTTGAAGCCTTTGAACTTTGGATATACCGAATAATGCCAGGGCCATCAGTCAGGTCACCAGTGCTGAGGGTCACCAATGAGGAAGTGCTGAGAAGGACGGGTCCAGACAAAAAATGTTGAGAATAAAAGTACGCATGACTGCATACCTTGCACACATACTGTGCAAGGTATTATAAAGGTGAGGAATTATAAATATAGTCTTCTGCAGATAGCAAAGTAGCAGCAGTAGTTATGCAGGGTAGAGTCGATGGCAAAAAGGGAATGGGCAGAAAGAGGAAGTCATGGCTGCGAAATATTCGAGACTGGACAAACATGACTGTAGACGAATTATTCCACGTTGCAAAAGACAGAAACTTTTAGAAATGTGGTCGCCAACCACCGTTAATGGGGACGGCATAGGAACAAGAAGAATTAGTTAATAATTTAATATATAACTTTTATAAAGGAATTTTTAAATAAATTTTTTGAAACACTATGAAGTTTTGTAACAGACCCATACCAAGACGAATAATTTATCATGTGATTCAACAATTATTCATTTAAAAATTATTTTAAATTTATACGTTTCTTTTGCAATTTAAAAAAGTTAATATTTCAACATTCAATTACATTGAAACATTTTCACGGTCGGTCGCTTGATAAACATTTTACTGAATGTAGAATTTAACTTATCAAAGGCCGTGTGGTTTTTGCATTTTTATCAATAGTGTGGGTAAACGTGTCATTGTAATAAAAGAATTTGATAAGAAGTGTCTATTATATACTGTTTTAACCAGTCCGAGAATTAAATAGAAAATCATTTGTCTATATTATAATTTTTATTTTAATTAAAAAAAAAAATTCTTTATAAAAGGTATATTAATAAAAAAAGCCTATCGGACTACATCACAGAAAGTTTTCGGAATAACTATTCCATTATAAGTGCTATCTGGATGTACATGTTCGAACAAAGCCACTAAATATGTGTAATATATAAACGGAATTGAAGACCTAAACGCAACAACGATAGAAGTCACAATCTTACTAAAAATGAGTTATAAGTTATATATTCATTTTTCAAGTAGTTAGGTTCCTATCTACCTACAAAATAAAAACTACATGGTTACAAATATCCTACACTTTTTATAAAGAGATACTATTTTAAGGGTAACAACGGTACTAGCTATAGCTACCATATTTTTATAATGGCCGCTTCAAGTAATAGAACAGTTCCACAAAATTTGTTTTATTATGAAGATTCTGAAAGTGATTCTGAATCGTATTTTGAGTCTGATGATAGTGTTTAAGATAAATACTATATTGAAAGTAATAGTGATAGTGAACACTCTTCAGGTAGTGAATTACAAGTGAGTAATTAAAATATGTGGCTTGTCCCCTTTTTAAGTAAAACTATTGTGGCTTAAATATTCTTTTTTTTGTTTATTTGTTATAAACAATTTTAATATAATTTCTTAATGCTAAAATACCATAGCTACCTACCTACTACAACTTTTGTAATATTGCTAAAAACAATTAAATAATTGACGGTTGATATATTACGAAATATTACGGTCGAATCCATCAATTAATTAATGAAATAATCCTTGCTTTTTAAGTTATAATGTCCATTTAACGTCGAGTTGTGGCTTATCGCCTTATTGCCTTAAACAATTTTACAAAACTTTTATACTAGTCCTAGGATTATAACACTCTTTTTGTTTGTAGGCAAATGAATTTTCTGCTGCTACCGAATCAAAAACCGATTTTCTTGACAGATGAGGTTCTCTATCTACACCGGAGAAAGCCCCTCTTCAAGATGACGCCATAAAAACCTAGAGAGATAGACTAGATATAAGAGAACAATCAAACGAAACTTGGGCCATAGCTATGTAAGTAAACGACAAAAACAAGTATCTTTCAGGGAAATCGGTCCTCAATATCAGTGTAGTCACAGAATACACCAACAACCAGAAACGACAGCTTTGTCGATTCCTTTGTTGTTAGCTTGTACGTGCTTGTACTTAATTTTAGTGTGGATCTGACATTTATACATGTTAGTACATTGAGAAAAGTCACACACATTTCTGGCGTACATCACCAAAATTGTAGTTGCACTGAGAAAAAGGTTGCATGCAGGGTCGGCTTTTGTTGACATTCTTAATAATGCTGGAATTATTTTTTTTATGTATTTGCAAAAGGTTGCAAATACATCGCACAACGCAAAGTAATGGCGAAAATCATATTGATTGGAACCATAGATGAAAATACTTTTTTGTTTATCCTGATTTTAGCATTAAAAGACCAATAATAAAATAATTAGTAAAACGTAAAAAATATCGGGGTAAACAAATAAAAAATCAAGAAATATTGTAGGAGTATATTTCTATAAATATAAAGCTGTAATAACCTAAAAAATAATCAAAAAAGTGTTACGAATCATTAGAATTTTGACAGAACAATTTTTTTAAATGCTCTTTGGAACTGGATAGGAGTAGGATTAATTGAATTGCCCCCTTGTTGCCTAATGCTACCAAAGTAATTTTCTAAGCAATCTTGGTTTAGCCTCCTAGTTTTTAAATATTTGAAGTCAAAATGAAGTAGCCTGTCCCACAACGTTTTGAACCCATCTATGGTATTAACCCAACATTTCAATGATCTCGATCTAGAAGTAACATTTTTCCCACTCTTGTCAAATATTTTCAATTCTTGAATGAACTTCGACATTGAATTTAAATAATTTAATTGAATTGCTGAACCTTCATAACAATTTTCATATTTATTGGAATTACCAGTGTCGAATGAGTTTAATACATCAAAAAGAATGTCAAATTTTTGAATGAATTCTATTGTTCCAAGAGCATCTGCAGGTAAATGTCCTAGTGCCATAAATGTGCTCATAGAACTCGCAACTGTGTGGCTTAAAACTTGAGTTTCAAGTTTTACTCGCATCTTCTCAAAATTTGTGGGATATATGTGTGAGCTGGTAAGCTTTGGGGCACACCTATACTGATTTCCCTTATCCTCACGATAGAATGCTTCCACATATGTCCAGGATGTTTTCTTATAACCATCAAAACATAAAATATTATTTATTAAACTGTTCCTGGTAGCCTTAATTAAAT